GCCACCACCAAAGAAGGCAAAGACAGTTCCATCAGCAGGGAAAGTGATGACCTCGGTTTTTTGGGATGCTAAAGGCATCATCTTTATTGACTACCTAGAAAGAGGAAAGACCATCAATGCTGTCTATTACTGTGAACTTTTGGAAAAACTGAAGAAAGAAATCGAAGAAAAGAGGCCACACTTGAGGAAGAAAAAGGTTCTGTTCCACCACGATAATGCACCTGCACATTCCGCCAGAATCACTGAACAAAAGATAAACGAACTTCGCTTCCAATTAGTTACACATCCACCGTACTCACCCGATTTTGCCCCCAGTGACTTCCACCCTTTTCCAAACTTAAAAAAATTCTTGGCTGGAAAGAGATTCCACTCAAATGACGAAGTCATCTCTGAAGTTAACGAGTATTTTGCACACCTTGACAAATCGACCTATTGTGATGGCATAAAAAAGCTAGAACATCGCTGGAATAAGTGCATTGCTAACAAAGGAGACTATATTGAAAAATAAAAAAGTTTTAACATTATTTTGTTTGTTGTTCTATTTGAGGCCGCGAACTTTCCGAACAGCCCTCGTATGTGCTTCATCCACATTTACGCTTGAGGACTATCCGACGCAAGATACATCGTCCAACTTCAAAAAAATAAACGTACCAAGAACTGTCCCCTGCTCTTCTCATCATGGAATATTATTTGTCAGATATCTTCCTTAGCGCATACCCGGCAGACCGAACGTTATGAATGAAATTTTTATTCAGAACTATACATCTTAGACATAAGCAGTATTCGCAATCGTTCACTTATGTTTTTACTTTACATTGTTATTTGCTTTGATTTCGCTTCTATTTTTAAATAAATTTGTCATTTTCGATTTTTTAAATGAATATACTGCTTAGACAGAAGTGTGTCATGTTTAGTATTGAGGCAAGTGTTCCTTTTTCTCTCTGTTTCTTTAATTTTTTTGCTAGTTTTTGTCATATCACAAATTCATTTAGTTCATTACACATTTTTATTATACTTTTTATGATTTCTGATAACTTGTCTTTTTTTAATCGTAAATGCAATGTATAGAAATCACTTCTGTTATTTTATATTATAATAATTAAAAAATATTGTTCTACTTCAAACTAATGTTTATCGTATGTTTATAAAGATCAGGTGTTATTAGCAATTGCAGCTGGAGGTTAGGCGAAGTCATTTAAATATGAATATAAAAATACCGAAGCTTTTTTCTTATAAATAAAAAGCTTATTATCCTGTTACCAGTCGTTTAAATTACAGTGTAACTGTTATATTGTATTTGGGAAAATGTTTCTAAGACTAAAAAATTTGTTTTGTCAGATTATATAATTTAAAAATATACAATCTAATCAAATTTATTTGCCCTAATTAATGTAAATTTTTTATTATTTTGTTAGTTTTTGTACTAATTTATGCTCTCGTATATTTGCTATTCATGTAATTTTTTACATTTTTATTCAACTTTGTTAATTAATTTACAAAATATAATAGTAAAAAATATTGTAAACAAATTTCATTAAAAACACGTGTTTCTGCGGTCATGTGACAGGTTACATGACCGCAGAAACACCTGCAACAAGTAACGTGATGCCATTCTATTTCCTGTGACGTTCCTATAACGTAGAAGCTATGTAAGAAATCAAAATATTTTAAAATATTAAATGTTTTCCATTATTTAAAAGCATTATTTCAGTAAATAAATTCACTTTTTATTGTTTATATATTTATGATAAATTAAATTTAAATATATCAAAATAATAAATGATGAGTTTTATTATTATAAAAATAATAATAAGTTTTCAGAATAAAAAATACAGATAATACATTCTAATTATTATTTTGTAATGTATTAATGAGTTAAATTTTTTTTATTTGTGTACGTAAAAGATAGTCACTATTGTGATCTCCAGATGGCACAATTATGAAAGTAATATATAAATTCCGTTTTCACTGTTTTTTTAATTAAAAAATTCAAGTAATTCAACATATTCAAAATGTGTGAAAATACACAATTCTCAATGTTAATATTCTTATGAACCAAATTAAAAGTAACATTTATATTCCTATCTTTTATGTTTAATAAACAAAACGAGGAAGAAAAATAACTGTATAAATATTTTAGTTTTTTTAAATGAAAACACATAAAATTTACACTACAGTATATTAACAGGTGAAAAAAATAATTTGGGAAAGTCTTTAGTTTAAATTTTCGTTACAAGATGGCATAAATGGTGAATTTCCATTAAAATGCCAGAAATTATTATTTTTTACTGCAATTTTTTACTTTAGTAATGACGTAATTACCTTTTCTGACACGTGATTAACGCTTGTTTTTTAATCAAATTAATTTAATCGTTCTAAACTTCTAATGGACGGATTTGACTTAGGTAATGTTTATAACGTAGTTTCTGATGTCATAAACAACATCCAATAGTTTTTTAATTAATAGATTTTATTGTATATACGTTTAATTAAATACGTGGGACGGAAACAGCGATAACATTGGAAATTTTGTAAAACGTTTAGAAATATACGTTGTCTAGTACACACCTCGCTTTAATTGTATTATTTTCAATAGAATTTTTTCAATTATAAATTTACAAAAATGAAAATTTTTTTGCAGTTTTAGAAAAGTTTTTTTTTTAATTTTAATTATTAAAAACAAATTTTTATCCTTTATTATATGAGTGTTGTGCAATATACAATGTTTAATTAAATTGAGCTATCTCCATTTGCTAATACAAACTTCTTCTTCTTCTGCCTGTGCCTTCTCCTAGGGGAGGTTGGCGGCCAGCAAATACCACGAATCTCTATTGTGAGTCTTATGAATAATTTCTTCAGTATCTAGTCTTGTCAGTCCTTAAGGTCATGCATCCAGCCTCGTCTTCTTCTTCCCTTTGATCTAGATCACTCTACAAACCAGAGCACTAAATTCTGTTGTAATATGCCCTGAAATATATAGGCCTATTGTAAACAAACCTATTTTATTTTACTTGAGAATTTCAAAATAACGATGCATTAGTAATATCCAGATATAACTAATATAAATAATTTTTTTTTATTTAAACAACAAAAACATTGCAAAATAATATAAATTCCAGAGTTGATATAAAATTAAATTAACAGAGTTTTAATATTAAAAATCTCATACTTTTAATCGAAATTTAAAATTTAAAAAAATTAAATTAATCAGTTTCTCACATTAGTGTTTGTCTGTGTGAGGGGAGCAGGATATTGTTTACTCTGTTTGAGGCTTTTTACTCCTGCGCTTTTTGTTAATATGATCCTGAATATAACTAAAAAATTTGTGCGCTATTGGGGAATCCCCGAGTTTCCACTCCCCACCTAAACTATGATAGAACAACGTTCGCTAGCAGCGCTGTGTCTGTAGGCACATCCAGTTAGAAATATTTACATTCAAAACAAAAGTGCCCACTAACTAAACATTTCCATAGTATTTTATTGCTAATAATATATCAAAATAAATGTAATTAAAGTACTTTTATTTCTTTGTTTTTATTAGGAAAATTATTTTTCGTTGCCTGTGACGCCATGTTGAATTCTGTCGATGTTAAGCCTAACGAAAATTACACGTTTTATTTAAAAAAAAATCGTGGCTATTTTATCGTCCGCAATTATTTTTTTATTTTTCACAAACAAAATAGATATATTCATAAATATAAAAACAAAAAAATTATATTTTGAAAGTTTGTTTTAATATAAAAATTATGACGCATAGCGACATCTAGTATCAAAAACGTTCTATGCTTAAATATGGATAAATGGTTGAAAAGAAAAGTTACGAATGTAGGTGCAAAAGATCTTGCTGAGGCGGGAAGCAGTAAAAAAGCAGAAATAGAACCTGCAACAGGACCAGTTCAAAAAAAAAAGAGAATGTATAATGAATCATATTTACAATATGGATTTACATTTTCTGCCGGTACACATGACGAACAACTACCTTTATGCTTATTATGCAATGATATTTTGGCGGCTGAAAGCATGAAGCCTTCAAAACTACTAAGGCATTTCAACACGAAACATGCTGCTTATTCAAAAAAGCCTATAGAATATTTTCAAAGTTTATTAAAGTCATCAAATCAAAGCAAATCTTTGTTAGAAAAGTATGCTTTTACTCAGGAAAAATATCTTTTAGCATCTTACCAAGCATCATATCTAATAGCAAAGGCTAAAAAACCATACACAATTGGAGAAGAACTTGTTTTACCTACTGCAGTACAAATTACAGAAACTATTCATGGAAAAAAGTATGCAGATGAATTGCGGAAAATTCCTCTCTCCAATGATACAGTTACTAGAAGGATTTCAGAAATTAGCTGTGATCAGTTTCAGCAACTTATACAAAGAATTAAAGAAAGTCCAAAATTTGCAATTCAGCTGGATGAATCAACAGATATTACAAATTTAGCTCAACTCTTGGTCTATGTTCGATATAGCTACGCCCTTAATATACATGAAGATTTGCTGTTTTGTCGGCCAATGAACAATCGTACAACAGGCGAAGATATTTTTTTACAAGTTAATGATTTTTTCAAGAAAGAAGGATTAGACTGGGATAACTGTATTGGTGTATGTTCTGACGGTGCAGCAGCAATGAAGGGACAGCGCGTCGGATTTCTAGCAAAAGTTAAATCTATTACAAATGGCCATATCATTCTTACCCATTGCATCATCCATCGAGAAGCATTAGTAGCTAAAAAAATATCACCAGATCTTAATGTGGTCTTAAATGATGCCATACGTATTATAAATTTCATAAAATGTCGTGCACTTAATAGTCGTTTGTTTGCAAATTTATGTAAGGATATGGGAGCGGATTACGAACAACTTTTACTACATACAGAAGTAAGGTGGTTGTCAAAGGGACGAGCCTTAAAACGATTAATAGGGTTGAAAGATGAGATAATGATATTTTTATCAGAAACAAAGTCCGATTTTTCTAGTCTCTTCCACAATGAAACTTGGGTTTGCAAATTGTGTTATTTGTCAGACATATTCGAGAAACTCAATGAACTGAATATGTCCCTGCAAGGTGAGAACACAAACATATTAATTTTGTATGATAAAATTCATGCGTTTATGAAGAAGATAAACTTATGGAAATCAAGTGTGGAAAATGGCATGTTGGTAATGTTTTCAAGTACATATGATTTTATCACAGAAAATAATTTGGATAATATTTTAATTAAGAAAATCATAATTGATCATTTGTCATGTATGGAAGAACAATTTAAAAAATACTTTTTATCAGATTTAAATACTGAACAGTTTATCTGGGTGCAAAAACCATTCCTTGTAGAAATGGAACAAGTGAAACATCTCCCATTAAGTGCCCAAGAAGAATTTGCCGAATTTAGTTGTAATACAAAACTTAAAACCGAGTTTAGTAAGCAAACATTGAATTCTTTTTGGCTTAGTGTGAAAGCAGAGTATCCACTACTCTCTGAGTTAGCAATGGCAGTTCTCTTACCATTTGCAACCACTTATTTATGCGAAATGGCATTTTCAGTAATGACCAATATCAAAACAAAGCAGCGCTCTCGTCTCTGCAACATAGAAATTGCTATGAGACCTGCACTGACTGATATTAAACCCAGGTTTAATTTATTGTGCCAAAATATGCAGGCTCACCCATCACATTAAATGTAATTTAAAATATAATTTAATATGCATCAATGTCCTTAATTTATTTATTTTATTTATTATTTAATTTATGTAATTTAAAATATGTTTAACTTAACTAATTGAGTTTACTAATGTTGAAACATATACATAGAATATTTTGTTCAAAGATGTACCAAAGATAAGTTATTAATTTTTAATGATACTAAAAATAAATCTGCTATTAAAATTCAATGTTTCAATGCAATTAAACAAAAGAAATTAACACCTTCTGAATTTAAATTAATCCCACCTTCGGGATGTTTTTCTACACATACCCATTCTTCAGGGGGTCCTTTGAAATTCTTAAGTGCAAAAGGGGGGTCGCGGACAAAAACTTTGAGAAACACTGAACTATAGCACATAAATATTAAAGACTTATATCTAGGTCCTTGTAGGCTAATCGACCGGGAGAGAGAATTTACATAAATTGTTCAAAACTAAAACTTCGTGATGTCACTTCATAACTCCTAGATTCTTCTATGGACGTCGGCTGGACGGTCAGCGATCTAAAGCTGGGGCGTCGGAAAGAGACGAACTTGGCGATGTACAGTACGTTGTGTATGGTTCCTCGAAATGTGTCCGCTGTTAGTGTCCGCCTCGATTATGGCGGGAAGGGCCCACCTATGTTTACTGTTGATGTCCGGACTAATGATCGGGTGCGAACCCTTTGTATACGCGTCACGCGTGAGAACGGTCTCAGGTGACTTTGATTTAATGTGTACTGTACTAAGTTCGAGCTGTGTCCGGATTTTGCTGATATGCGCTGTCAAGAATCGGACGATGGGCCGAATTATGGACTCGTCTTACCTCATAATTCCGTCCGTTTGACACTTTCCCATCATTAGCATCTCTGGATCAGTAACTGATAACGCGTCTTGTTATAACCAACACCGTCATTTAGGGAGAAATAATATTCAGCTTAATATGAGAATCATAATCATAGAATAACTCTTACCAGGGGAAAACTTTTAGTTTACGTGTTCTACATTAATATACAGAGTGGGCCAACGAAAACGAAACGGCAGAGTTATCGTGTTCGTCCAAGCAAATCGCTCGGACAGATCGATTTTATTCTCAAGGGGGATATCTTCAACAATAAAGTTTTTGCGATTCTGAATACAACTCGCAACAAAAAATTTTAAAAACTCATTCATTTTTTATTAACTAAACAAACATTTATTTCAAATAAAGTAACATAAGAAAAAGTTATCAAGTATTCAATACATGTTCGAATTGAGCACCACATCTCTGTAGATTCATTTCTTACTGGACGTTTACGTCCGGGGTCGCATCTTTTGTTAGCCACAGAACCCGTTAACTGAAACTTTTGAACTAACTCCAGAACGTATTTTGCATTACAATATTTGTTTGGATAGCGTTGATTAAATAAATTTGCAGTAAGATAAGCATTCTCGCGATTTCTGAAATGAAGAGTTACTATTTATACCCTTTCAGCAATTGTGTAAACCATAACGATTATGTTGTACAAAATTCATAATAAACAAATAATAATCTTAAATTCTGATTGAATCATTAAGTGGTCGAGCTTAATGCGAACACTACAAAAAAGAACATCTGGAAACAGATAACACATTATCAGCCTTAATTTTATATTTTTTCCTTGCATATGCGGTCCAGCTTCAAAGGTTTTTTTTATGTTTGTTAATAGTTTGTGTTACTTTTCTTCCGAAATAAATGTTTGTTTAGTTAATAAAAAGTGAATGAGTTTTTAAAATTTTTTGTTGTCTGTTGTATTCAGAATCGCAAAAACTTTATTGCAGAAGATGTCCCCCTTGAGAATAACATCGATCTGTCCGAGCGATTTGCTTGGACGAACACGATAACTCTGCCGTTTCGTTTTCGTTGGCCCACCCTGTATATTACAATTAATGATGTAAACGGATACAAGGAAATTTTAAGACTTCTCTTAAGATATTTTGTATTCATCATTGTTTAGCCTGATTATCGCTTGCAGCGACGTGAAACGGGTAGCAGATATTGATCGAAACGCCAAGGACATAATAGAAATGAATAGACTTTCCGATAGCAAAGAAGAATTTTATTGACACAGATTTTTATCACATTCTGTTCCAACTGAAAATATAAACGGATTAACAGGAGCTACAACAGCGAAGGAGTAAAATAGAAATTTTTCAAATTTAGCATTTAAAAGAAGGCCACCTTCATCGAATGAAAGCGATATCTTTCGCAATAACACTCATTTATTAAATAGATACTAATCTGATATCTCATGAAAAATTATAAGTTCTATTGTATTTCATCAGGCAGATATTGTCATTGTTAGGTAAGTTTTTATAGGCATAATAATTATTTGTGCACACTTTCCTTGCCAGTGGAGAAATTTTCTAAAATTCACGTCATTCTAATTCGAAATAGATAAATTAAAATAAAAGAGACTTTAGACAAATATAAAGTTTCGTAAAAATAATTTACCATCTACGGTGAAAATTATTGTATTCTAAACAATATTCATTATCGTAAT